GTGCTCTCTCTCTCTCTCTCTCTCTCTCTCTCTCTCTCTCTGTCTCTCTCTCGTTTCCTCTCACCATGTGATCTGCTTGTACTTGCCACTTTCCGCCATGAGTAGAAGCAGCCTGAGGCCCATGCCAGATGCAGCTGTCTCAGAATTGTAAGCCAAATAAACCTCTCTTCTTTATAAATTACCCAGTCTCAGGTAATTCTGTTATAGCAACACAAAATGGACTAAAACAAAGACATAATGAATTTTAACATGCTGGGGAGGGGCAATGCACAGGGGAATCTCAAGACAGTCATTTCCCCAAAACCCAGTGGGGTACAGAAGCTTATATGCCAATTTTCATAGGAGTGAGGGGGAGGTGGGGAATGTAGACAATTCTTCTGAGGGACAGTAAAATGATAGTTAGGAAATGAGCCCCAGAGGCAGATAGGATCTTGTGAAAAGCTCTGCCTAAGTGTTAAGACCTTCTAGTCTCCTCAGGAGGGGATCTTAACACAATTGCATTTCTTTCCAAAAGATTTCTTAGGTAAGGGAATTCCAGAGAAGTTCCCTCCCTGTGGCTGTGGTGAGGGGAACAAGTCAAGGTTAGATGGACCTTGACTCTCAGGTCTAATTCTGAGGACTTTTAATTTTCAAAGCACTCAGCGTGCCAAAGTGCCATTATTTGGGGAAACAGTTTTCTGTTTCCCAGCAGGTTAGAGCAGGGTGGGAGGAACTTCTGTGGAGAGGGAAGAGATGGCAGGGCTCACTGGAGCTTGGAAGTAAAGTATTAAGGAAAAACAAAAGTCCAAAACAACAGCAAGCTTTCTGGTAAGAAAGATGAGGAGGAGGATGGAGCCCACTGGTTTCAGGGACTGAAGATGAGGAAGGACTGATGGTCTGGGGAATGGAGATGCCCCCGGGAAGCTGTTAGGGTCAATTCCGGGCATGTTGAGTTTGAGATGATAAGACGTTAAACTAAAACCATTTTGTTTCCATACATGAGGCAAACTGGAATTGATATGAGATTATATGGGAAAAATTCAGAATGTCTGAGAAACAGAGTTGTTTTGGGTTGAGTGTATTGACGACAGTACTGTTCATATAAAAAATTCTCATGGTCTGCAGCCAGTGGCAGGAAAACAGGGCACTTGTCTTACTGAGGAGGAAGCCACAGAGACCTGGCACCATGAGACCCTGCATGGCTGTCCTTTGCTTATGAATATTACTTTGCCTGTGAATATTACTGCATTGGGAAAAGTCCCAAGCGGTCCATGTTTATGGCTGAAGGAGGGAAGGCTGTGTTATGGGAAGCTGCACATTTCCACTGCTAGGGAACTCTGATCTTTTGTCTACATATACCTCAGGTGTCAGTTAATGTAATGCAAAGTTAATATTGCACCACTGATCCTCATGTTAGGATGCTGGCATTCAATGTATATTCTGCCGGAAATTCCCTGAAGACTTCTGGGTTGCTAGGATACTATTCAGGACCACTGCAGTATGTATTTCTTAATGTGGGCCCCCCAACACTTTAACTGTGAGCCATTACTTTTAAAAATTAAAATGGAGTTTATTTGGTTTAGCAATGGTCACATGGTTTTATCCTTCTTAGCTTTTTAGAAAAAAATCTTATTTCATCAAAAATTACCTAATACGAGTCATCCTGTGAGTGAAGATTTTCTTATGATTTCCAATTAAGTCTGATTATTTCTATGTAAATCACAGTGCTGATAATTTCTCTAAGGAAGTAGAACATCAGAATGTGGTCCATTTATTATTTGAATGAAATGGCATGCATCATTAGTCGAATCCTTGATGTGAGTTCCATCTTATTGCTATTCTGAGTTCAAGCAGATTGTAAATGAAAGTCTTTAAATTTTATACAAGCAATGCAATGTCTTCAAAGGTGCCTTTCAGGTAGGAAGACGGATGGATGGAAGGAAGAGATTTTATTACTGCTTTTATTTCAGGGGTACACAGATGCCCAATGACAACTTAACTGTTTGTATATGCCAACAGGCAGCAACCTCAAACCAGAAATTTTTATATGTNATTAGTCGAATCCTTGATGTGAGTTCCATCTTATTGCTATTCTGAGTTCAAGCAGATTGTAAATGAAAGTCTTTAAATTTTATACAAGCAATGCAATGTCTTCAAAGGTGCCTTTCAGGTAGGAAGACGGATGGATGGAAGGAAGAGATTTTATTACTGCTTTTATTTCAGGGGTACACAGATGCCCAATGACAACTTAACTGTTTGTATGTGCCAACAGGCAGCAACCTCAAACCAGAAATTTTTATATGTCTGTTTTTTCTCTTTGGCACACGTGCATTATCATGAGCTAGTTGCCTAAGTAAAATAGAATACCAAGCATATGGAAGAATGTTTTGATTTTTATTTATAGAATTTGAAAAATAAAATTTAAGATTTACTGGTGATGCCCCTCCTACATGCTCCCATTTTACCCTGTCTCTAGCACAGAATATTGTGGTGTGTTTATTTCTTCCATTAAATTGTTAGTTCTATGAGAAAGAGACCACATCTGCCCTGTTCACCAATAGATCCTCAGTATAGTTCCTGTGTCAAATTGTAATATGCATGTAATACCTATTTGAATATCTAAATCCATGAATAATGGCAATAGCTGGTTCCATGAAAGTCTTTAAATTTTATACAAGCAATGCAATGTCTTCAAAGGTGCCTTTCAGGTAGGAAGAGGGATGGATGGAAGGAAGAGATTTTATTACTGCTTTTATTTCAGGGGTACACAGATGCCCAATGACAACTTAACTGTTTGTATGTGCCAACAGGCAGCAGCCTCAAACCAGAAATTTTTATATGTCTGTTTTTTCTCTTTGGCACATGTGCATTATCATGAGCTAGTTGCCCAAGTAAAATAGAATACCAAGCATATGGAAGAATGTTTTGATTTTTATTTATAGAATTTGAAAAATAAAATTTAAGATTTACTGGTGATGCCCCTCCTACATGCTCCCATTTTACCCTGTCTCTAGCACAGAATATTGTGGTGTGTTTATTTCTTCCATTAAATTGTTAGTTCTATGAGAAAGAGACCACATCTGCCCTGTTCACCAATAGATCCTCAGTATAGTTCCTGTGTCAAATTGTAATATGCATGTAATACCTATTTGAATATCTAAATCCATGAATAATGGCAATAGCTGGTTCATTTGACTAGTTACATAGAAAGCTAAGATTTAGATTCTGTTCTGTTCAATTAGTCTATGTGTCTGCTTTCATGCCAGTACCATACTGTTTAATTACTAGAGCTTTGTGGTATATTTTTAAGTCAGGTAGTGTGATGCTTCCAGCTTTGTTCTTTTTTTTTTTTTTCCATTTTGTCTTTTTTACTGACCAGTAACGGGATCGCAACCCTCAGTGTTGCGTCCGTACCAGGGACAAGCAACGGGATCGCAACCCTCGGTGTTACGCCCGCCCCACGCTCAGCCAGTGAGCGGGAACCGGTCTCCACATGGGATCCGAACCCGCAGCGGGAGCGCCGCCGCACTCCCAAGCGGCGCACTCTCCAGTGCGCCACCGGGCCGGCCCCAGCTTTGTTCTTTTTGCTTAAGATTGCCTTTGCTATTTGGGGTCTTTAGTGGTTCCATAGGAATTTTAGGATTGTTTTTGCTATTTCTGTGAAAAATGTCATTGGTATTTTGGTAGGACTTGCAATGAGTATGTAGATTGCTTTGGGTAGTATGAACATTTTAATAATATTAATTCTTCCAGTCCATGTACACTAGACATCTTTTCATTTATTTGTGTCTTGTTCAATTTCTTCCATCAATGTTTTACAGTTTTCACTTCCTTGGTTAAATTTATTCCTAAGTATTCTTTCTTTCTTTTTCTTTTCTTTTTTTTTTTTTGTAGTTCATTGTTAGTATATAAAAATCCTGATTTTTGCATGTTTTTTTTTTTTTTGGCACTTGACTGTATGGGGATGTAA